TTGGAGATCAGTGTCCCTGGTTAGCAACCAGGGACGCTGATGTCTCTGAAAGTGGCCGGAGCCAGCCGTAAGATCACGGCTGGCTCCGCCCAGCTGTCAGAAACAGGCTGTCGGCCGGCCAGCTTCGGCTTTCTGCACGGCTAAGCCGAGCCGATGCATATACGATCGGCTCGACTGAGCCGCTTGGCCATGATTGGGAGCTGTACGGGCTATTGTGAATAGCCAGTACAGCACCCCCTCGGTTCTACTGAACCGAAGGGGTCCTGGGGCCGAAGCTAGCTGAAGGATCGGCCGAAGCTACGGCCAGATCCCTCGGCAGCTTCGTGAATAGACCCCTAAGTAATCTAAGTAATCCATTGCGACGACGTGCAATAAAGTGAACATTTAAGGCATTTTAAACTTTTGAAGCAAAAATTCTTGTAGTTTTACAAGGTTTGTAATATTACTTTTATTAGCAAAAAAACTTTCCTCTTTTCATCCCTCTGATTTATTTTCACCTTAATAGGTAATTTACTCCCTGACTTTTTGGGCAAGCCATGATCATCTCGTCTACACCCTATCCAGCACTGAAGTTGTCTCCAAATGCAAGCGAGTGGCAGTTGCCACAAGTCTGGTTCTGGTAGCAAAGTGAAACTAAATCAGAGAAGCTTCCAAAAGAGCTTTTTAGCCAGTAACAGACATCTTGTGAAACTTTATGTTGGAAAGATGTTTTAGTTTGAGTTGTTTAAAACAGCCAAAGAGATTGCTTTAAATGCTAAACTTACATACTTGATTACAGTGTCCAAATGCTCTGTTTCTGTTTGGAAAACGGAGCTGAATTAGTACAGCAGTTAATTGAGTACTATTTAGTATATGCCTGTCAGTATACAGGGTGTGTCTCACGTGCAAGTTGTTAGAAACTGTTCACCAGGCAGTCAAGCACACTGATCCTGGCACTCCACATAGATTTGGATTATATTAAGTTTTGGCACCCGGTCAGTTCCGTGTGATAAATGGATCTTAAGCTAATGGAAAATAGGCATGCTGCAAAGACCTCACATATATGTGTGTTTAATGGTACAAAACACAATCTGGCTGCGAGTCCACTAGCAAGCCCTTCTAAACTGCTCATGTAAGCAACTTTTTTTTATTGGGAACTGCAGTAGTACCTGAATATTGCAGTTTAGAAAATCCATTCACTAATGCATGACTGGTGGGTGACATTACACAACATTTTCTGCTGGAGACCTCAAAATATAGAGGTTTCCTAATTTCTTTCAAATAGTGCATCCGCAAGCACTAAGCATTAAATAGTTGTGTTTTTCGGGGGGTTCACCTTTCAATGGTCCTCAATACTAGCTGACCAAAAATATTGAGTATTTTACCTTTATGAGTTGATCCTGTAATGACGCCATTATACCCTGTTGCTTGAGAGAACTTTCCATAGAAGTTGGGCTCTGGCTAGTTAGCTGATCTACTCTTTTCTGAAGGTATCCAATCATTTCCTGAATTCCATTCATCCCTGGGCTAAATATGAACCAAACAGCTGTTAGCACCTCCATTGCTTTGGGAAATAGCCAAGATAATAAACAGAAGATTGGAATAACATGTCTGCTATACTCTGAAGAAGCAAGGACTCCAGGAACTACAGTCACAAAGATCAGATAACATGCTGAAGCATTGAAGGTAGTTTAACTGTTTAAGATATTAAACCTGTAGAAAAGAAAATAAGCATGAAAGGGGAGTTGTTGCTTATCTACCAGAATTCTCGCTAGCAATAATTCCTGTATTGCGTTCATCTTGGTTTTCTTCAGTTTTATTGAACCAGCCCTCTTGTGTTTAATTCTTTTTATGAGATTTCAAATATTAAATCAAATTATATAGTACACAGATCAGAGCCTTAGATGAAAATGTTATTGTGGTAATAACTGTGTAAGGATGTACAAAAAAGTGAAACTGAAAATTAAAAGGACATCTGAACTTTCGCATTGATGTCTGAAGGCCTGGGGCTTAAATATGGTTTGAATTCTTCAAGCTGGCCATACACTGGTATATTTTTTTTGTTCATCCCACGGGCTGAACAAAAAAAAATAGAACAGATTCCTCCATCAACCCTTATGAGCATTGATCAAGGAATCCCCTGCTATTACCTTTGTATTCCGACAGCAGCCACTGTCAGAATATCCGAGCAGAGCCGACAGCTCATTGGCTGTCGGCTCTATTTGTTCAAAGATTTTTCGACCGGCTCCTTTGATCAGCCGATCAAGGCATGCCAGTCGAAAGGGTGCCGACAGTCGGTACCCACTGTGTAAATTTCAGCCGGTTCATGAAAAACTGGCCGAAATTCGCATAGTGTGTGGCCACCTTTATGCAATCATGAGTAGACAATCTGTAAAATTAATTATGCTAGTGCCAAATCCTTACAGGTTTCCAGCTTTTGTAAATTATGTTTTTAAATAATAAAGCTAAAGTAAAAATAAGCAGATACATAGAAACATACTGCATTGCTACTGCTAGTGAAGATGCTATCGTATGTGCTTCTAATTATACAATAAACCATGCCGCTGCCTCATAGGATTAACATAAAGACAGTTATAGCACTGCTTGTTTCAGCAATGTCATTTGCACATACGTTAGTCATACATAGTTTCATTCTTTTTCTGGAAACCTGTTCACATTCCATGATATAATTAATCTTGGCTTTTATTATTTCTGTTTCTATATTTGTAATTTACATTGGCAAGAATACTCATTTGTTTCTAATTATGGTTTTCTGTATTTAATGACATACCGTATATATAATTCCAACATATTTTTTCGTTTTAGTAGAGAGGTGAGGGGATATAATTTTTAATTCATATTGTTTGGTATATTGCCCTGCCCATGTGCAACTTCCTCCTATTTACTTGTTTCATACTGGTCAGAGCGACTGCCATTGTTGCTTGTTTGGATTTGGTGCAGACATTCACTCTGGAAGTCTTCAGCTGCCTAGCATAGACAATATTCAGGCTTCTTTGCATTGCTGTACCTTTAAGGAGGAAAGGACAGTCCCCTGGTGAGCCTGCTCTCAGTTATTGCATTGCTATACAGGTGAAACTTGAATAATTAGAATATCGTGCAAAAGTAATTGCAGTAAATGCTGCAAAAGGGGCCCAAACCAAGTACTGAGTACATATGCATGCTTGTACTTTTCAGAGGTCCGATATTGTTCTATGTACAATCCTTGTTTTATTGATTGCATGTAATAATCTACTTTTTTGAGGTTGTGGATTTGGGGTTCTTGGGGTTTTCATGAGCTGTAAGCCATAATCATCACAATTATGACAAATCACGGCTTGAATTATCTTGCTTTGCATGTAATGAGTCTATCTCATATATTAGTTTCACCTTTTAAGTTGCAATAGTGAAATAAATGAACTTTGCACGATATTCTAATTATTCGAGTTTCACCTGTATATGCCCTATAGTTGGGAACTCAGACAGTTTAGAGTTGGGACCACATTTAACAGAAGTGCCTTAACACAGTAGTGTAGCATCAGATCATTTTTGTTTTTAACCTGAATAGTTGAAACTGTTTAGTTAAGGATTTTTTTGCTGGCTGGCTAGTTTGAAAGTGTGTTGGGTTACCTTTGTATTGTTTTTGGTTATATACTGTATACTTTTTTTTTGCTGGCTGGCTAGTTTGAAAGTGTGTTGGGTTACCTTTGTATTGTTTTTGGTTATATACTGTATACTGTATAACCCCTGTATGGTTTTTATTTTGGTCTGTGTCCCCACTAGGGAGGCTGACTCTTGTACTTGTCCTGATGACCATTGTCCCCAAGACTAAAAGTGAGGGGAAATCCAAACTTTTGAGTTGTCACCAGAACAGGGAAGAGAGGAAAGGTATTTCTCTCATTTTGAAGAGATTTTCTCAGTTCCTGTTGTGGCTTCAGGACAAGAAGGGAATTTTCTCCAATGGGGCACAGATGTCAAAACAAAAAAAAACTGATCAAGCCAAGCATTTTGATGTCAGTTGTGTAACATATTATTTTTTGGCCTTTGTAATTTGTTCCTATATGATTTAAATATTTTTTTCAGAGCAGTAAAAATCCTAATTTGGTTGCAGATATGAATATGTACATTTTATTTTGGAAGCCAAAAATATAAATAAAAATAAATAATATTTTAAAGCTGCCTTTACATAATTGCCACAAGACCAGATATTCACCTCAAAATATAATTGTCAAGGATACCACATACTGTATATGTGATTTTCTTTTGTTTTTGGTAGCACAATTTTAAAGCCTAAAGTAAATTCTCAGCTTTTAATTTAGGAGTAAATTCTTACCCTAGGGGCGATACTTGCGTAAAAAAACAATATTTAACCATGAGTCAGGTTTAAGCAGCCAAGAATCTGTAAACTCTTTCTGCAGATTTGGGAACAACAAATTTGAAATTACACTATGCAAACGTTGTGTTTAACACTCATGCAGTAAGCGCAAATATCAGCCAGTGTTTGTTGAAACTAGGGATTGATATGGTGGTGTTTTCTTTTTTTAATTATTTTTTAGTTTATTTTATTTGTTTGTTTTTTCGTTTTTTTCCTGTTACTGGTTTATTTTCGAGGGACCTAACCCAGCTTCCTCCCATTAAACTCCTAAGCAACGGACCACTTGTAATAATGAGGAGCACAGTTGTCGATTTTAGAACATGGGGCTGTGTGTGTGTTAGGGGGAAGAGGTGTTTACTAATTATTTAGCTGTGATGGTGAACAGATAGCTTTAGTATGCCCGGAATCACTAATCCAGAACAAGCATGCTGCTCAGGAGTTCTGATTTCACTGTGACTTTAATGACGCCAAAGTTAAACCGGGCAACTATCATTTTAGACAGAGGTCAACAAAGAAAGCCTTCATATTCCTCACAGTACATGTTTTCTTCAAATAACAGATTTTGAATTTGCAACAATTTTATATAAAAAGCGGCACAGAAAACATAAATTTGGGGTCATTGGTGAGATTAAGACATTTGAAGTAGACTTAGTGTATAAAAGTCACGGTTTAATTTGGTTGCAGACCTTAGTAAGTATTAACTCATAACTTGTTAAAGCAAAGGATTTTTTGTTGAATCACTGCTCAGTAACCTTTATATGATAGGTTAATTGAATTAATTGATTCCTCAAGCTTAAATCCTAATTAATCCTACAGAAAGTGAAGAGTATTGGCAGCAAATCCCTTTTCATTGCTGCTGATTAATTTAACCCAGTGCTAATCACAGTGCTAAATGCTTAATTTTATATTGCAAAACCTGAACAAGCCTTTGCTGAATCCTCATACTATTACAGTACGCCAGATATATCTATCAGAATTCTCCATGTTCTCAGTCTGACACATTTAAGGGGGCTGAGTATCAAAATATACTTCTAGAAATAGATGATGGCACTGCTGGGGAGGATTGTCTTGCCACTCACAACCAGTTTAGCAGTTTGAAGCTGGAGTCAGTGGTCTTGATGGTTGAGCCTACATGGATGACTATCTGAGATTTTTAGTGACTGTGGATAAGAACATAGACAAATAGTTGAATAATATGTACATTGCTGCCACAAGGCAGTATTAGGTAGCAGATTTTATGTGTATTGGAAATTAAGTCTGTGAATGAAGAATTTGGGAGATTGGCTTATTTTCAGGAGATCCAAAAGACGGGAAAATATATTCTGATCAGCTTTGAACTCTGCTACAGTAATACAGAGGAAAATACTGCCTTAGGTAGAGATGATAAAACAATCAACTATCCACTATAGTGTTTGCCTAATCAACTCCTGTTATCGGCTTTGAGAGGGTTCCAATACACTAATCAAAAATCAAAATATTTTAAGGAAAAAGGGTGGCCTCTTCTCTAGAATATCTTAAGAAGAAATAAATAATGCAAGCTATTATCCCTAAAGCAAAAGGCCATACCAACATGCAAGCCTCCTACTGTGTTTTTAACAGACATTCATCACTGGATAGGTTTCTTAAGAGGTAAGCCCAAAAAAGTGGGAACCCCCTCTTAAAACTTCAATTAATTGCACTATACTACATCAACTGTGTCCAAAAGATGAAGTGAGATTTGGATTTGATTGAAGTGGAACTTCAGCCATTTTTTTAATTGTTAACCACTTGCTGACCGGGGTGTTAAACCCCCTTCCTGTTCAGGCCATTTTTCAGTATTCAGCACTGCGGTACTTTGACTGACATTTATTCTGTCATGCAATGCTGTACAGAAATAAATGTTATACCATATTTTAGGGACAGATCGAGCTTTCTTTTGGTGGTATTTAAACCCCACTGGGGTTTTTATTTTTTACTGTATAACAAAAAAAGGACTGTAAATTTTGAGGAAAAAAAACAGGGTCACGTTGGGTAATCTCACACACACCCACAGAAAAAAAGACGTACATTTACGTGACCCTGCCGAGAAGGATCTGCCGTCCGCCAGTAATTTTACAATTGGCGGGCGTCAAGGGGTTAAAGTGTATTTTCACTTTTGTAAAGCCCCTCTATATGTTTGTTATGTGTTCCTATTCACACAGCATAAAAAAACATATTTTCTTTAAAATATTTTTTACGTTTTAAACATTTTGTTGCAACGGGCAAAATGGCTGAATCAAGGTTTTTCTCAGCAACTTTACAGTGATCTGTCCTTATAGAAATATTTAGGAGAAATTTGAGGATTGTGTTTCTCTCAATAACTTAATTAACACACAATGCAAAACCCTCACCCTGCACATCCCCTCCTAACCTTACAAAGAAGATGAAGCCAATAATGTTTAACCCTTAAGAAGCCCAAAAAAACCTAACCCAGGTAAAAGCAATTTAAAAGGCAAGAAGCATTTTAAAATATTTTTTTAGCTTATGCTTGGGAATGGGAACATGTACCAAATTTAAACTAGGTGTTATGTCAATTTGGCAGCACAAGTGGAAATACACTTTAAGCTTAGTTTTGGATAAATTGGGGTCAGAACATCTGTCAGGTTTTTGTGATCTGTGTGTCTTTCGGAGAAATTCTCCTCACTTCCTGTTAGCATAAATGAAAAAGGAGTGCCAGATCAAATTTATAAAAAAAAGTCCAAAATAGCTTTAATGAACAATAAAACAGTCAACGCTTTTCAAGGGGAAAATCAAGCGCCCCATTCATCAGGGCTCAGTAATATTTGCAGTCTTAAATCATAATCCATTGGCTTGCTGCAGCCGTTATACTGGTATAGTTCTACTACACCTGATTTCTTTCAAGCAGTAAACTTAAGATTTATCTGGCATATGCTTACCTGAGCCCATCTAAACATGTGCAAATATTACTCAGCCCTGTTAAAGGTGGTGAGTGTCCTGTAGTCTGTAAAATATACCATTAAAATCATTTTGTTATATCTGTTTTATAAGTGCAATAATACAAGTTGATTTACAAGTCAGAATCCTAGTTCACTGATAACGTCAGGTGCTCTCTGCCTATACTGCACTCTTATCAGTTACATTGTTCCTATCTATTCCTGTGGACTACAGAACACCTACCACTATGTAATTGAAAAGAGGGGAGATGTTCTGAAGTCCAAAACCTTCGTGTCTTAGGCTGACCACACTGCTCCTCTTAAGATTAAAAAAACACCTTATCTAAGGTCTGGTAAGCTACAGCAAACATGCAATATATCACAATTTAGTTTTTTGAGGTTGAAATACAGTTTAAGTCTCAAACATTTGAATTCTACAGGACGGGTGTTCTACATATAAGACTAAGGCTGGGTTCACACCTAGGCATACGGAATATGCACGTTTGCGGCGCGTTTCGTGCTGCGTATTTTTACAGCGATTTGCTGTAAAAAACGTGTGACAAACGCGCGTTTCCAAGGGCTACCTGGCTGTAGCCCAATGGATACGTGTGGCAAATACGCCCCAAAGAAGCTCCTGTACTTCTTTGAGCCTAGGGAGTTTTGCAGCGCGTTCTTACTCGCTGTAAAACGCCCAGGTGGGAACCAGGCCTAAGGGTCCATTCACACCATCTGCTTTGGAGCTGTGCTGGCCTTTGTTTCCAGCGAAGCTCCAACGCAAGAAAAGGCAATTTGCCTTGTCATGTATGGTGCCTATTCACACTACTGCAACACGGTGGTGTGTGCTGAAAAAAGTAAGGCATGCATTACTTTTTTTCAATGCAGTGGTATGCAACACGCTACAACCGCCTTGCACCCTGCTGTACCCATAGAACTGAATGAGATGTCACTTGTGACATTTCAATAAAGTTTTAACAAAAAAAAGTACACAGTGCAATGTGCTGGAATCAGCACTTCAGCACTTTGTCGGGGGAACCACACACCAGATGCTGTGCCTTTAGCGCAGCATCTGGTGTGAATGAGCCCCAAATGTTTTAAAAACCAGACCATTTGTCTTAGTTTCTGTGACCTATTCTAAGCAGGCTATGTCAGTATAATGTAAAGAAAAAAGCGGAATGGTATTCCTGTGTATTTCCTTCAGAACAAATTGGGAAAAATAAACTATTGTCAGTGCGCCGAGTATTTAGCGCACGGAAACTTGCTTGGTTGGATTCACCAAATAATAGGTCAGTTTGAAGGCTTCGGAAAGATGCGACTAGTGCGCCAATTGTAAAAGAATAAAAAAAAACCCAAGTGCAGCTTTTCACACAAAAAGTCTGACAATTTAAACCAAATAAATAATGATACATAATATGTCTGTCAATATTTGGCTCTATAGAGGTGTTCAATATTGTGCCAAGAGGACGATGGCGCAAGAAAGTTAAATATTCTACTATACGCCAAATAAACTACTGTATATGCACTGCAACATAATTGTTTGTTTGACATAATAATAATAATATAACTATAGTGATAATAAAATGTTGCGTGCGAAGATTCACTTTTATCAACAACCACCAATCTTAGTTTAACTGGCCCATTGCCTTTTTTCTTTTCTAACTAAAATCTAGTTGCTATGGACTGACACATGCAATGGCTCTTGCACTGGGTTTTTAAATAAGTAATTCTATATAGTGATGTTATGGCAAATAAATAAGCCATTACCTATTCTGATCTCATGGCCTTATATACAAATATGCCTTATATACCTATAACTCTCAAACAGCCACTGTGCTTGAAATGTGCAATAGATTCTCTAAAAGCAACTATAACTCACTGCTACAGCACTGCGATGCAACATTCCTTTATATAATGGCTTCTTTAAAAATGATGTCTTTTTGAAGACTTTTAAATAAACCTAGAAATTATTTTAATGGAAGAAGAAAATGCACTGTGAATAGATGTTTAGACACCTGTTGTCACTGTGCTATAGGCGGAGGCTGGGTGTCACTGTATGCTCCTTGACATGACAGTAAGTTCAGACAAACAGCTGCTTCACACATATCCGTCATCACTTAAATACTCTTAACCTTCTGGTTCATCCTCTCTTCTTACAGGGTTATTCACAAAAGGGTGAAGAGTTTGGAGAAGGCAGGAGGAGAAGTAAACAATGTAGACCAAAATAGCTGATTTGGAAAGTGAGCTGAATTGGAGAATTTTTCCAAATCAGCTATTATGGCCTAGATTCTTTACTTCTCCTGCCTTCTCCAAACTCTTCACCCTTTTGTGAATAACCCTGTTAATGTCTGATACACCATACCAGGGACACCCGCTTCTACTAAAGACAGCTGCAGAAAGTGATATATTTTAGTTAAAACATTAAATTAATGTATTTATGTATCAAGGTGACAGATGTTAAACTCCAACAGTCAGTGTACCCATTGCACTCCTTACCGCTTAATCCGTGATGTTAGGTTGGGTGCATCAGTAGTCGACGGATGGCCACTGTCTGAATAGAGTATAAGGAATTATGGACACCAGCACTCCAAGGTAGAGAAACGTCTTTTATTGACGTGTCATGCAAAGATTTACACTTATTGCAACTTGTTCTGCCTGATGAAGTGGATCCTGTGTGACCCCGAAACGTTGCAATAAGTGTAGATGTTAAACTCCAGTCCCTCCGATAAATGTTTATTAAAAAAATTATAGTATTGTTAAATATTAATTGAAGCTGATTTATGAAAGGTCTGCTAACCCAGGAAAACTACAATGTTATCTATCCTTCAAGCTCCCAATCTAGTTGGAATGTAATACTTTTTTCAATCTGATTGTTTTTTGGTGAACACTGATTAGATGGAATGGTGAACTAGTATAAATGTAATCACTATTTGTTAAGCTGGCCATACACCTTTCAATTTTTTTTGTTTAACCTGCGGGCTGTGTAATAGTTTCAATGTCACATGTCGGCTCTATCTATGAGGTGAGTGAGTGTGAATCACTCACCTCATAGTTCTCCTTTAAGTTGCTTATTTACATATTACACTTTTGCATTCCTTAGATTTTCACCTTTTTGCAAAAAGGCACAATATTTGTTATTTATTAACAATAATACAGTTTTATTTTTTTAGACTTAGGGGGCTGGTAAAATATGGAAATGTTATAATAATTCATAAATCTAGCATTTTGTTGCTGTCCCCTTTAACCTTGATGCACTGTATACTGGCCCATGAGTACCATTATGGAAAACACAGCCTCAGCACAGTTGCCAGTACATTTGTGCACATTACCTGTGGCTGTACGACCAAGCACAGCCTTGTGGTCAAAAATCACAATCCATTACCAAGATACTGAGTGAGTGTATAATGTAACTGACCATAGAATGGGTTGTTATGTTAATGAACTTACTTAAGAGGTGACTTCTTTAAGAGCGAGTGCCCCTTTTGGAAGGCATCGGAAGTATATCTTTTGATTTCGACTTCAGCTTCCTTTTGTTTTGTAGAAAATTCAGAGTCATTTAGATTTTGCATCCTCAAATGTTTCAGGTAAGATTCAATGCCTCCTAATTTGTCAAAAGCCTGTGAAAAAAATGATTTTTCAGGAACAATCATGATCACACTGAATAAAAATGTCCAAAAACATTCTCTTTAAATAAAATCATTAAAACATGGAACAGTGAGCCAGTTAAACCTGAAAGCCACATCAAAGATTAAATTCAGGCAAATTGTATACCTATTCCTAGCAGTTGGCATGCTAGTATTTAACCCCTCCCCTTAGCCTCAGCACTTCTCTCTTGCCTTGGGGCTTATTCACACCAACATCGGAAGGAAATCACAAGTCAATGGAGGGTCCGTTGACTTGTAGTTTCAACCTCTGTTGACTTCTATTCTATTCCGTTGCATTTACTTTTCTCTTTTTTGGCAAATATCTCTATTTTTTATTTTCCTTTGCGTTGTGATTATATCAGTTTTTGTTCTGTTACGTTATCTTTCTCTGTAAAAATTAGAGCATGCTTTTTTTTCATCGCACTGCACTGCATGGAACGGAACAGATTGCAGTGGAGTGAGCTTGTCCCATTCACACCCATTCATTTATTTGGTGCCCTTGTGTTGGCATCCCTTGAAAAACAGAATGCAATGCAACGCAACAGATCTGGTGTGAATGGGGCCTAAAACCTTAATAACTAATTTACAGTCAACATTTAAACATTAAAGCGGAACTTTATCCATATGTCTAAAATAACAAACACACCTTTAGAAATGTTTAGTAAAGACAATATACAAAAATATACTTCTAGATAATTGCTGGCTTTGTACTCATATATATCGCATACCTTATTTCTCTTTTCCTCCTTAGTCTTCTGACGATGGCCATGTTACCTAAGGGCATGTTACTAGATCTCCCTTTACTTCCTGGAACTCTGACACATGTGAATAGGAGATGTGACCATGTACATCATCTCAGGGGAGGAAAATGCCATTACCTGAGGTCTCATGAGATTGCAGATGAGATTTCCCAGCAATCCTCTGCTGAAGTAGCCTTCCCAGAATGCAACACTTACACTTGTGCCAAAAATGGACCAGGAAGTAGATCAACCCTATTTGTCAGTAAATTAAAAACAAGTTTGTCTAGCAAATGAATGTAAGATGATTTTAAATCAGCATGCAGAGCTGCATGCTGATGTAATTTTTAATGAAAGGTGGTAAAGGTCCACTTTAAACTCTAGGCAGGGGGGCATCTTTGAATGCCCTCCACATAATGTTTTTTATTGTTTTAGCATATATACAATTTTCCAGGTCCCTTCAACTCGGTGCACACATTTGGAAGTCACCACTATTCACGGAAGCACTGTACTGTGAGCTTAGGCTGACATGATGCTGCAACCCAGGGGTTGGGTCCATGATGGCCTGGACTCAAAGAAAGTGGGCTGAATGAATGGTGGGCATTTTATTTTCACAAGAATGGGGCTAACTGTTATTTAAAATGTAAATTAAACTGGAGTTGGGCTTTAAAAGTAACTCCCTGACTTTAATCTGTGTTAACCTAATTCTAACACTTAAAGCAACCCTTTCCATTAAATGTGTTTACAGAAACCACAGCCAAATATGAGCCATTCAACTTATAAACAGCTCGCCAATACATATCCAGTGAACCAAATCTTTGCTACTCTTTCCCGGAGACAATTATCTTGCTTCAAGAGCAGCACAGAGAAGGAGAAGCCAAGCTATCAATTGCAGCCTGCATGCCAAATACAACTCTACCCTTCAAGTGACAGTCCCTGCTGTCTGTGTACATAAGAGGCCAGGAACAGTGGTTAAATATAAGGATGACAGCTTTTTGACTTTTAACAAAAAGTAAAAATTAGCATATGAGTGTTTTATGTAGACTGCACATGGACAGGAATGCAATGAAACCACTGAAGGAATGGGTTATGACAGTACTACTATGATTACATGCTTGAGCAACAGAGCGCTTCACTTTAACCCTTAACCTAAAGTTAAATGTTATCTAAACCCAATAACAATAATTTTACACATTGAAGCTTGCCAGCCCTAAAATGTGATGGCTGCATTAGTTTTCTCTCTGATTATGTTTGCTTTTTTTTACCTGCTGACCCTGCCAGTAACAAACTCCCTGTCTTAGAGTAGGGTTGCCACCTTTTCTTCCAGCGAAACCCGAACACTCTAGCGACGCATGGAAATGTTTTTGGGAGAATGAGTCGTGGCTTATTCATATGTAAATAGCATAACCCATTCATATGTAAATATCACAGTCGAGACTATTTTCAGTGGGAGACCAGTGGCCCCTATCTTAATTTTGGTTGCCCCTGTCTGCCTGACATCATGTGTCCGGGTTTCAGCTGCCATGAAACCTGGACACAGCATTCAAAACCCGAACTGTCCGGGTGAATCTTGGAAAGGTAGCAACCCTATCTTAGAGTGAGAATGCTTACTCACTGTACTATATGAAGGAGCACAGAACACACCTTCTCTTTTCTCATCTCTATGACAGTGGGGAAAGGTGGTCTGTAGTCCACAGAGAGAAGTCAGGGAGGGGTGATAATAGAGTTCAGTGCAGTACTATCAACTAGCTACAGTAAGTTAAAAGTTCACTGGAGTTCTGCCATTTCTGATTGACCGCCATTTTTCTATCAAACAGATATAACAAAAAAACTTTCTAATGTATATTTCACAGACCAAAGGGCACAACAAACAGAAGTTCATTTTTAGGGACAACATACACTTCAAAATTGAACCGTTTAACCATTAACTCTTAACCTAACACTTTACCCTATGCTTCCTCCTAATCTTATCTCTGTTGTCAATGGCATCAATCTGACAACAGAGACACTTTTGAGATCATTCAGAAATCGTTGGCCCCCTTCTGACTGGCAGTTGATCACCTTCTGACCAGTTTTTTTTACCTGCTTCAATACGGTTTTGCATTCCTACAGACTTTTATGAGAATGCAAAATCAACTTAAAGAAGAACTCCAGGCATAACTTTTATTAACCCTTGCACTGGGGCTACCCCCACACTGCAAGCGCTAACTGTTCATTTTTGTTTAAGTGCTAAAAAAAAATGTATACTCAACTGAGCCATGGATCTAGCTTGTTCTTAAGGCTGGTCCTTACAGCCTCTCTCCCCCCTCCTCTGCAGCTGTTTAAGGTCCCATAAATCATCACGTTCTAGCCACAGTGTATAGATGTGAGGATGCTGAGGAACATTCCAATTCTGCAGCACAGGAGGAGATAGGCTTCAGAGACCAGAAAAGCAAGGAGCTGGCTCAGCGCTTCAAGTGAGTACAACTTTTTTTAGCACCTAGACAAAAATGAGCATTTAACCCTTGCAGTGCAGGGGTAGCCCCAGTTCAAGGGTTAATAAAAGTTTTGTCCAGAGTTCTTTAGAGCAAACAAAAAGTTGATTGATAACAGATAAACCCTGTTTAACCCCGAAAACAAATTAATACCTATACTAACAGAGTGATGCCCTATGCGTCCAAACATAAGAGTCCCAAACTAAAGAGAGCCAGGGCCAAAATCACAGTATCTATAGCTGGGTACACATGGATTGGCAAGCAATGTTCCGGTATTCTGACAGCAATGCGCATGCGGTCAGTATACAGTGTACACAGCTAAAGATGTGTTCAGATTTTTTGGGTACACATTTACCCGTGTACCCAAACTCCTGAAGATCCCTAAACTCATTTCTGCCAGCTGCAAGATGTATTCTAGGATATTCGGTGCAAAGGATACAGAAATGAATTCTAGTCTATACAAAATTTTCATATTTAAGATTCCATTTGAATTTTTATCACTGTAAGGACATCTACAATGACAAAGACAAAACTTTATACAGAGTACAAGTCATATTTGGAAACTAGCTTTTGTACTATAAGAAGGATTTTTTTCTTTCAAAAAGATTTTTGCTTTGTTTTACAATTCACTGCAAGTTATAAGTACAAATGGGGCATACATTTACACGTGTTGATATGACAATAATGCTCGGAAGCCCCATCTTCAACTACATTCTCCGTATTTCCCAGGAGGCACTATACAGTGGACTATAAGAAGGATTTTACTGATGAGCCACATAAATTACACACTTTATGGAAGACAAACTCACTGGATAGTCACCGGATAGCCTTGGTTTGACATAAGTCATGCAAGAGCACCATCTCCAGGAGATACGCGTTGTAGTGCACTGGTTTATTTTAGCTGTGCTTTTTTATGCTGTTGTTAGTATTATTGTTACAATTTACAAACAATACTCTCTGAGCTAATGTTGACAGATGTTGGGCACTTATTAAACTTCTTTCCCACAGTGGGGAAAATGTATAATGTATTTATTGATATAAAATAATTGAAATCTGCTCTGCTTAGTGCTTAAAAGGTCTGTCAGTATATAAAGATATAGGGGTCTATTCACTAAAGTCTCTAGTATGGTGTATCAGACATTAACAGGGTTATTCACAAAAGGGTGAAGAGTTTGGAGAAGGAAGGAGAAGTGAACAATCTAGGCCAAAATAGCTGATTTTGAAAAATTCTCTAATTCAGCTCACTTTCTAGTTCAGCTATTTTGGCCTAGATTGTTCCCTTCTCCTGTCTTCTCCAAACTCTTCAGCCTTTTGTGAATAGACCTCATAGTTGTCCGAATCACTGGTACTTTGCTGGACAGCTTGGCTTGCATGTAAATATGTAGGAAAATCAATTTTTTGTGATAGTCGTTAAACAACACAATGCCCAGAAGAGTAGTTACATACAGTATGGTATGTTTTTTCTGTGTCCACATTGGTGGTTTTCGACTCTTTCCTTCTATTCATAACAAAACGTTTTCAACTGGGTTTTCACTTGTGCACCATGCTTGTGTGTGGGTGTCCAAGGTTGCCCCAAAGCCAAGCTACACTTCATCCACAAATGAGGAGAACCTCCGCCAGGCTACATCATAAGATCAGAGGACTGGCAGATCAATGTTTTTTTTGGTGACAATACGAACAATGGTTTACCCACATACCAGAAGGTGACAGGGAGTTTGATATAAAGCTGATGATTCACTGAATGAGGTGAAGCTCTGCTGACTTCCATCATCCAATCATGTGTGAGCAAGATTACCAGGTTTTCTTTATTTTAGTTGCATGTGATGGAGTATTCTTGCAACATGAATTCTAACCACATTAACTGAGCTAAAGGAAAATCCCTTGCAAAGTGAACATCCCATGTATTTGCCTTTAATAAATCTGCATAGTGCAGAGTGCATATCAATGGTGCATTTCATTGGATTTTATTATTTGAGATACATATCAAGAAACCTGCTTGACATATTTTAACTAAGTTAAGGAAATAAGCAGATCAAATTCCAATGACAATGATTTATATTGATATAATCCTTTACTCCCTTTAATAAAAAGGGTGTTTTTGCAGTTGCTTGTGCCCCTATTAATAAGGTTTGCGACCCTTTTTCTGTATATCCCAAACAATAAATGGTTTGGCCAGATTTTTTATATGAACAGTTAGAAATGATTTAATTTGCTACATTTTCTAGTTACAGTTCAGTTTTGGGTAACAGTTCACAATAAGGATGTTGTGGAACTGGAGAAAGTGCAGCCGAAGGGATGACTAAACTCATAAGAGGCATGGAGGAGCTCAGTTAGGAGGAAAGATTAGCTGACCTCAATTTGTTCTCTCTGTGGAAGAGGCGATTAAGGGGGGACATGATCACCATGTATAAATACATAAATGGTCCATATAGTGAGCTTGGTGCCAAATTATTCACTTTAAGGTCACTGCAAAGGACAAGGAGGAAAAGAGGTTTAACCTTTGCATATGGAAAGGATTCTTGGAATAGTCTCCCCCAGGAGCTAGTTCTAGCTAGCTGAGTTAATAGTTTTAAAAAAAAAATCTGGATGTATTCCTAAATGCACAGAATATTACTGGATATTGAGTTCTTATAGGTATATTAAGCATCAGAGATTGTTGATCCAGGGAATATCCGATTGCCTTATGGGATCAGGAAGGAATTTTTTTCCCCTGTTGGAGCAAATTGAACCATGCTTTATAGGGTTTGTTTTGCCTTCCTCTGGATCAACAGTGGGTAATTGGGGCCATAGGCTTTTTTTTTCTTCCATATCTCTATAGGTTGAACTCGATCGACATGTGTCTTTTTTCAACCTGACTAACTATGTAACTATGTAACTATTCACACAGCTACTTTTTAGTAAACTATTGACTGTTTGTGGCCAGGTTGTAGCCATTACATGACTGGTTTATTTTTACATTGCATGCTGAATTTTCATCCCAACTGCATGAACTTCTAATCATTAAAAGACTGACTACATGTATGGCTGAATTTTTTATTTTAAATTGCTTAGTTCAATCTTTGCTTAAACTACCTAACTAAAAATCAACTAAAAGCATTTCCATTAGTGGAACTGAATGCCATGAAAATTGTAGAATTTACTCTCTTGCTATTTGCTTACCTTGTTAACACACTTGAAAAAGTCATTGGCTTCCAGTAAAATTTCTTGTCTCCGATCCATCAGTTCCCAGAACTCAGTATATACTGCCATTAATTTTTGATTGGAGTTGTTCAGTTTCTCAATGTCTCCACAGTCTTTTTCATCAGATAATCTGTTGGCCTCTGTTTTTAGATTGTCTACTGTTGAATTCCATTCCTATCAAATGGAGAAAAAGAAGATAAACAGCTAACGCAACACAATTAAAGCAGAACTCCAGTCAAAACACCTGTATTGCAGATATTTACATTCTTGCATGCATTGTTATGGGAATGTACTTTGCTGGGGGAAAGAAAATGTGTGTTGTTGCTGATAACCAGCCGTTTGCTTTCATCTTCTAGCCTGCACTAACACATGTCATTTGGAATTAGAGGCGGCTACAGGCAATACATAAACATTTCCTTTAGGTTTTTTCTTAATCATTACTGAGACTTTATCAGTAAAGCAACACAAAGTGCAATAAAGATATTCCATGTGAAACACACAGGAAGTAAACAGAAGACATTTTAACTCGATCTGTCAACAATTTAACTGAAATCTGATTGGTTAATGTAGCATAGCGAGTTTGTAACATCTTGCTTGCACTTTATTCTGCTGTAATAATGGAGTGTACAATGTTTATCCATGTTCATGGTCTGCCTCACAGTTGTCACTGAGATGCTTTAGAGTTGTTATAGGCCAAAGTCTGGAAGGCACAATCTCTACCTCGTAAAAAGTGTATTTTAATTCAATAGAAGTAATTATGTACATGTTCACAAGCATATTTAGTGATGTGTGTGTGCTTGTTTTTTTCTACAGGCCTAGCTTAAAGATGAACTCCAGGCAAAGCTTTTATTAACCCTTGCTCATTTTTGTCTAGGTGCTAAAATAAAACGTTATACTCACCTGAACCAAGGAGCTGGCTTGCTCTTAGGCCAGCCCTTGCAGCCCCTCTCCCCTTCCTCTGCAGCAGTCTAAGGCACCGTAAATCATAACGTTCTATACACAGTGTATAGATGAGAGGGTGCTGAGGAACATTCCATTGTTGCAGTATAGAGGAGGAGAGAGGTTTCAGAGACTGAAAAGCAAGGAGCCGTCTCAGTGGTTCGAGTGAGTATAACTTTTTTTAGCATTTAGATAAAAATGAACAGTTGAGTAGTTAACGGTGGCAGTGTAGGAGTAGCCCCACTGCAAGGGTTAATAAAGTTTTGCCTCGAGTTCTTCTTTAACGAACAATTTAGTTTATTGTTTTTAATCTTTGTTAATTTTTTTTGATGCAATAAAGAAGATTGATTTGCCGTGAGTGCCCTGGATTCCCTTTTTCTATATTGTGTGCAATAGAGAACCATAGTATTCCTGTTGAACCCCGCTCTGAACTGTTAGACCACTGAAAGCCTCATAATGCCATTAATGATATCAAACTGAGGTCATAAATATGCAGCTTCAAAATACATACAATGATGAGAATGTATCAAAACTGGAGCAGATAAAATCTAAAGCAGTTGCCCGTGGCAACAAATCAGCGTTAGCATTGGTTTTCATGCACAGCTGCTCTAGATTTTGTCTGCTCTAGATACTAGAGTGGAATGGAATAAGACTGGAGCAGCTGTGTATGGCAACCAATCCGCTTCTATCTTTTATTTTGAAAGTTGAACTGAACAAACATAAGAGAGAGCTGATTGGTTACTATGGACATCTGCTCCAGATTCCCCCCCCGCCCACATACAGTGATGCCATCATTGTGTTGTGCCGGCAGTGCTGTTACAAGGTCAAAGAGCTGGTTTGCTGTGGACGTGCAATTGTGCCTTGGTTTTTCGAAATTCACTTTGGGTGTAGTCCTTGTCTTTTTAAGAGATGAGCATAAAAGTGGATAACTCAGGTGAGAAAAGCCAAGTCAGCCTGCAGTGAACTTTTCATTGTGACGTTGTGTGCCTATTAACACCATGTTATAGACAGTGTACTTGCAGTACACCTGGCATCTCCTCAGGCTACCCCATTATCTTCTCTTATCTCTGTGGTAATCTCTCAAGATTGAGCTTTATAATGTGCATTTACCTCTGGAAATCAGCTCATTTATCTGATGAGGCATTTGAAAATGTCTGCTTTCTCCAGAAGCTGTGAAAATAGCTGCACACTCACTCACACACATAGATTTCTTGTTTGTAGCTGTGCATAATGTTGAAATACCTAGCAGTCCTTTGAGTGATGTAGTTCCCGAGGCTTGTTTTTTTCAAATAAAATCTTTCATTTTAACTTTACTTTTCATGAAACTTATCAGTATTAGACTTTGCTAACTATTCTTATAAAGAGGATCTCCAGCTACTAACAAAATCACCCTTGCAGAGGGGCTACCCCCACACTGCTAAGGATAACTGCTCATATTCACCTCTCTTCCCCTCTACTTCAGCTGTGGCATGCCCCTCAGAGACCTCTCGCATCCAATGCATCTAGTGCAGGTGAATGGACTGCATTGGACCTGATTACATAAGTGGGGCTTAGACCACCAGAGCCCAGGGTAGAAAAGGCTGTGCGGACTGGTCTAGCATCTAGGCGGAATCAAAGATCAGGTAAGTAAGAGATCATTTTGTTACAGGAGAGCTCTAGGTAAACCTTTTCTTAAAACAAACAAACAGACAGCGCCTTGTCCTCGTGTAATACAGTTTATTAATCAATGAACATACAAGCTGACATAAAATACTACTCACATGGTAATCACTGAATGAATGGTACAAGGCAGACCCCACACAAAGCTGCCTTGCTAGCTGATGCGTTTCGGGGAATATACCCCTTCCTCAGAGCTTTTTCTTAACCCTTGCAGTGGGGCTACCTTCACCCCTGCCCCCCAAGGGTTTTCTTAACGCTTGCAGTGGGGGTACCTCTACACCCCCCCACCCTTCACTGGAAGGGCTAAGTGCTGGTTTTTGTATAGGTGCTAAAAAAACAAAATATATAACAAAAAACAAAAAATAACAAAGTTATACTCACTCAATCCTCTGTCACAGCTCTCCCTCCAGCCAGTCTCCTCCCCCACTGCAGCATTGGAATCTTTCTCAGCTTCCTCATGTTTATACACTGTTCATAGACATGATGATTTGTGGGACATTATACTGCTGCAGCGGAGAGGAAGAGAGGCTGGAAGGACTGTTCTAAGAGCATGCCGGCTCAGAGCATTGGGTGGGTCTAACCTTTTTTTAACCTAGACAAAAATGAGCAGTTAGCCCTTGCTATGCGCAGGTAGCCCCATTGCAAGGGTTAGTAAAATTTTGTCCTGGAGTTCTTCTTTAAATCTTAGAGTTCCTTTTTATAATGGGAGACAAGTATAAATGAAGGGAAAGACTTCAACCCCAGTAAGTTGAAGAAGACCAAAAAAACACTAGTATTTCCTCTTGGAGTAAACATTGTTAGGGTAGAATAACTTGTTGGATTCTTATTATTTTGTTACTTTAGTTTAGAGATCTTTGCACATGTGTTGCCAGCTCTGTCCATCAGCCATGACCATAAAGCTGGCCATACACCTATAGATTATCTGCAGATTTTCTATGGTCAGATGGAAAAAGTGCAACAGATTCCTAAACTGTGTGAATGGTGAAATCTCCCACTGGGCCAAGCTTCAGTATCTTGCTAGTCGGCCCCGCTGGCTCTCAAAATACCTGAACAATCTGATTGGATGCATCCATTGTTCAGGTATTTTGAGAGCCAGCGAGGCCAACTTGTAAGATACTTGGCCCAGTGGGAGATTCCTCCATCCACACACTTTAGCGTAGATGGAGAAATCTGTTCTCCGTCTCCGTCTGTTCTCTGTTTCCACCTGATTAAAGAAAATCTGCAGATAATCTATAGGCAGCCGAGTGAATAACCCAGCCGAAGTAATGTGCGCCGAATGCTGTTCGGCTATTCACTTCTGGCTTGTACGGCTGATTTCAGCCGTACAATGGCTAAAATCAGCCGTACATCGGCTACCTTCAGTCAGCCAAACATGCTGTGAATGTTCGACTGAGCCGAAGTGCAGAAGGAGTTCGACTCAACCGATCCAACAGTTCGCCTCAACCGATCGCTGCTGTTCGCCCCTATTCTCATAGGGGCGGAATGGCAGTAAGCGAATAGCTGAATGCCACTGAGCAGCATTCAGGTCGGCTATTCTGCTCTGTACCTCCGAGGTACCAAGCAGAATAGAAAATAAGTGAAATAATTTTTTTTTTTAAGAAAAAGAAAAGTTAAAAAAAGTTTTAAAATGTAGGACGATTTAAAAAAAATTAAAATAGTTTAAAGAAAAGAAAAAAAAAGAGAAAATGAACAATAATAAAAAATAACGCCAGCAAAGAGGCCGGCAAAATCTAAATAATTGGGCAGAGTTAGTAGTAACAGCTAGCTCCGCCCAAGTGTTTCCTATTGACCGCCACCTGCCAGAGTCTTCTAGCAGACTGGGCAGAGCTCAACAGCCCTTCGGTTCGACTGAACCGAAGGGCAGAGGCGGCCGAAGAGAGCCAAAGGATCAGCTGAAGCTACGGCTGGATCCTTCATCTCTTTAGTGAATAACTCCCTTACTCTTATTTTGCATTAAATTGGAATGGAGCAGAAGGTGTGAGACACCATAGCAGGGATAATGGCAGAGCTTGGAACTTTGTAAAGGAATCTCACCACTTGATTACTGGGGGGAAAAAAGATAATAGGTGATAAAACTTATCAATTTCCTCCTTGATTGATGAATTCATTTTGAGTGATGGGCCCTTTTTTTAACTTTTACTTTACTTTTTTTTTTCCTTAACACTGCTATATGTATAAAACAAGGCTAAAATCTGCTATATTCCAAACTGCCCTGTATTAACTAAAAGGTTTCTTATCTTGTGTATCATTTAAAAAAGAGAAGATGTCAATCTCATGTTTGACTGTATCTCTTAACAGCCTTTGGCTAACATTCTTCATTGGCATTAACTCTTCCATGCATGGGAGGTGAATAAACACATTAGTTATAGCTGGTGCACACTGACTAGCAGGGCAGTATAAAGCCATTGTCTGCCATGCTTCATGCTTTGATTTACTAATGGCTGTGTAAGTGACCTTTTTTCTGGTTAGTGAGCAATGTATATAAAGGTATAAGAGTTCATGTGTATGTAGTCAGACTCAGAAGAAAGTCAAATCACTTAAAGGAAATCTGTAATGTTTAATTATATTTTCTTTTT